AAAATATCATATTACTCAGCAGGAAAATCTGGTTTTCAAACAAAGTTTTGATTCTATAACTTCTTCAAGGTGAAATCCCTTGTTTAGTAGTAAGCATTGCTTGCTTAATATAATTTATTTGCACTATGCACAATAGTCATTACTTCCAGTTTTGATGGAAAGTGGTAAAACCTATGTTTGATGTGTAACTTTATACATTCTGGTGTTCTATAATTCTCTTCTTCCTGTACTTCCACTGTCCTTAACCACTCTCATCAGACCTTTAAAAGTAAAATTAAGGAACTGAATCAATGTTTGTGTTCTTTTTTTACACACCTCACATGGTTTCTAGACAATAACAGTAGGCCTACAACGTTTTTGTTTTAGTTTCGACCCAAACATGTATTAGAAAGCTTATTCTCCCTTATGCATCCACAGTTCCCAATCTTATATTTCACGTAGACGAGCCGCTCAAAGAGTGCCAGGGCACCGTCACCATTGTCTAGCATGTGGCCACACAAATGTGGCTATGTGATTAGCTACCCCAAGACGACAGCTTTCTCAGCTCAGTCGGTAGAGCGCGCGATTGGGACGCGGATGGTCGGTGGTTCGAATACTGAGTACTACATTCGCTTCTTTTTCCCGCATCCGAATTAACTAACAAAGGCTGCAGCGAGATGAGGGCGTGGACCCGGTCGACCAATGACCACCTACCCAGCAAGCCCCGCAAAAAAGTTCGCTTCGACCAGGAATCAAACCCTCCCCCGACGGTGCCCCCTGGCCCAAGGCCCGGCACGCTCGCCGCACGGCTGTCAGCACCACCTGGCGATCGTCAGGTCAGAACCCGGTCTGGCTCAACGGCCTTGGTCTTCCGTGTAAAGCAGGCGGTCAAGTCCACCTCCTCATCGCGCTGAGGCCCGGGTCGGATAACACGAAAAATCGGCAAAAAGTGGGCGCCCCGCTCAAATCAGGCAGTTGATTGACAATTTTACGTGTTATCCGACCCGGGCCTCAGCGCGACGAGGAGGTGGACTTGACAGCCTGCTTTACACGAAATACCAAGGCCGTTGATCCGGTTCAAGTTCTGACCTGACGAACGCCAGATAGAGCTGACAGCCGAGGGGCGAGCGTGCTGAGACGTGGGCCCCGAATGACAGTCGACCCAGGGTTCGATTCCTAGTCGAGACGAATTTTTTTTTCGCTCAGCGAGATGAGGATGTGGACCCGGTTGACTACCTACTCAGCAAGCCCCGCTGCTCATTTGTTTTTAAGTGAAAACCACAGTGGATATTATGAATCCCGTTATAACAGCCTCCTCAGCTCAGTCGGTAGAGCGCGCGATTGCGATTGGGACGCTGATGGTCGGTGGTTCGAATACCGAGGGACCATTCGTTTTTTTCCGGCATCCGATTGAATTGACCAAGCTTCAGCGAGATGAGGGCGTGGACCCAGTTGAATACCTACTCAGCAAGCCCCGCAAAAACGTTCGCCTCGACCTGGAATCGAACCCTCGCTCGGCCGTGTCCACTGGACCGCGCCCCGGCACTCTCGCCGCCCGGCCGTCGGCGGCTCCACCTGGCGTTCGCCTGGCTTGTAAGATTCTGCGGGTCTTTTATTTTCGTTTTTGTTAGTTTCAACGTTTTACTGCGAGAATGTGCAAGCCTACACGACACACATTACAAGGTCCCTCTAGTGCTCAAGCGGGCGCGACCCTCCCCTTGTCGTCCGTATACCTTGAGGCGGAAAGAGGACAACTCATTAGACGGCCGCTGCCGCTGCTGCTCTCTTTGTTGCGTAATTTCATTTTGTACGCGCTGTCTGTCTGCACCCTGCAGCAAATAGTGGGAGAGAGAGAGAGCGAGAGGGGAAAGGGGGGGGGGGGGGG